CTAATATCAAATTAATAATAGAGACTGCCTCAGAGGTAAGAGGTAGGGAAATTTGTTTTGGGAGGGAAACAAAGGGACTCTAAAGGCACTCTAATATGCCAGGCACTAGTGTAGGTTCTGAGGACACCTCAGGGAACAAACGACAGTTTCTTTAAGATAGGAAAAAAAAAAAAAAAAAAAAAAAAGACCAAACATTTCAAACAGACTTGAAAATGTATTGGCTTGTCCTCTCCTGGAAGATGATCTATATGAAAAGAAAATCCATAATCTGAAGGTTGCTTTAGGAGCAACAGCAGGGGAACTAGTTGGGCAATCCTAAAGGTGATTACTATGAAGCTGGAACACATTTATTTTATTAAATTCCACGTAAGGAGATCCTCTATTTGGGGGTGAGTGGGAAAGACTTTTTAATACTCCAAATTTTAAATAGAAAAATTGGTCAATTTGATCATATTAAAAATGAGAATTTCTTATAAATGTACGCTGTGACAAAGATAAAGATGAAGGATTGTGAACATCTTTGCAATGTCAAAAGCTGACAAAGAGCTAAGTAACTTTAGAATAGCAACCAGAAAAAGAGATTCTATTTAAAAAAATAAGCACAAGCTATGAATAGGTAATTTATAAAAATGGTTACTCAAAAAGCTAATAAGCTTATGAGAGATTCTTAAACTCATTAGTAATTAAAAATATAATTAGAACATTGGGCTAGTTTATAGATTGATCCCTCATGTGTCTTTATGCAAGAGATCAATCACCTATGTCCACATTGCCACACCTGAGTTCTTAGTTTTGCTAAACTGAAGGACAAACATGGGCATGGTGATTCACCAAAGGTAAATGCTGCTCCATGAGTGTGCAACCAGCCTTTTTAGCTATTTCTTCTAACTGCAACAATTTCAACTTATCTCTCAAGTTTGTTGTTCATTTTTATTCTGAGCACTATGTTTATATGGTTCTTCAAAACCCCTTTGGAGAAAGAAAGAGAGCTTCTACATTTAAATAATCAGAATTATACTGTGCCTAACAACCCTGAACTCTTGTTTCTTGGTTTCAGGCATTACATTATCTAGAGAGAACTCAGATGAAAAGAGAAGTGTCATGAATACTAAAAGTATGTCTTGATGAAGAAACTGAGAGTTGAAGAGGTTGACTACCTCATCCAAGATGACCAAACTAATAAGCAGGAGAGCCAGAATCTAAACTCAGGGGTTCAAACATCATGTTCTTGACCACAGACTTTGAAGTGGAGTCAGTGAAGTAGAATATAAATAAGTTACAGAGTGCTGTTTTTATAAAATTTCTTTCTTACTAATTATTTAATCAACTGTACTCTGTGTCAGGCATAGCGTTGAGCACTGGGGCTACAAAGATGAAACTCACAGCCTAGTAGGGAAGACAAGCCAGACAAATATTACATTATATTCCTAATAAATGCATCATGGTAAGTGTGCTAGTGGTGACATGTCAGGGTATTATGAGAGCAGAGAGCAGCAACTCCGGCTTTCTGAAGAAAAGGTCAGGGAGCTCGAGTTAGCCACGAAGGGGTTTGGGGAGGTGAAGCAAATCCAGGTAGATGAAAACAATGCGGATGGAAGCATCACGGAGTTTAGTGTACTGAATCACAGAAAGCAAGGGGAAAATTACATTGAAATAAGGAAAGCTAGTCAGAGCTCACATCTTAGAGGACCTTTGAATAATTGCAAAGTTTAGACTTAATCCCATGAGTGAATGGGGGTTACAGATAGGACAGTCATATATGTTTTAAGTAGATAGTTTGGGAGGCAGGTTGGAAATGGATTTGAAGGTCTATTAGTCAAAATAAGCCAAGTTTGTTGTGGTAACAGATAAATCTCCTAACCTCAATAAGTTACTGCAGTAATGGGTTATTGCTGAAGCTGGCTGGATAGCCGTCCTCCACCTGGTATCCATACCATGTGGAATGTGTGTCCTTCCAGGTTACTACAGCAGAAGAGAGAGAGTTGGAGGAAACTTCAGGATGTTTTTAAGGGCTGGGACTCGATGTAGCTTTCATCAGTTCCTCCCATATCTTGTCCAGGACCCTGCAACACTACCCCATACAACTGCAAGAGGCTTTAGGCAAGGACTGAGAGTCTCCTATGATAGAGCACTTCTTTCAGTCTTGTTTATAAAGGGCCAAATAACCTGTAATTTCTTATTGTATCGTTTGAGAAAAGTAATTGTTTATTCATTCATTCAATTTATTTGACAAACACATTTCTGAGCACCTACTATGATCTAGGCACTGTTGCAGGTCCCAGGGATACAGCATTGTTCATGTCACTTTCCTCTCCACTCATGAAGATATGTGTAAGGACAGAGTAACAGAGTAAGTGGGGTGGAAGGTGCAATATGGGCAGATCCTGGGTCTTACTGCCATTGAAAAGACTTTGAACATGACTAAAATGAAAGGACTTTAGAATATGATGTGGAAAAGAGCAACATAATCTGACTTACTTTTTAAAAGGATCATTCTTGTTGCTCTGTTAAACATAGGCAGAGGTTGTAGGGTAGAAGCACTGAGCTCTGTTAGTAAGTTATATAGTAATCCAAGTGAGCAACAATGGTGACCAGGACCAGGTGGGAGCATGAAGGTGGTGAAAAGTGGTTAGATTCTGGATGTATTGTGAAGACAAGGTGTTTGATTTTGAAGATAAAGTCATCAGAATTTGAGGACAATTCAGATGTATAGTGTGAAGGAAAAAGGTCTTAACTTGAGCTCCTCAGAGAATGGGGTTACAGTCAACTGAGGGGAGATAAGCCTTAATTATTAAAATTTTTCCAAGATGGTTCCAGAAGGGCTCTAGGGAGTATTAGTTTCTTAAATCATTCAGGCCCAATGGGTGCTTTCTTTAGAATTTCAAATGATAACAATGTTTAAGGAAAAGTCTTTTTCTTAGATTTAAAGCTTAGCTCCAAACAATCTCCACATGGACAAGATTTCATATAGAATCTATAAATCTGCCCACATAAAACGAATACCAGTTAGTTAGAAAATCATGCAAACATTGTTTTTGAAGCCAAATACGCAAATATTAAGCTATATTAGATTCATTTTGATGTGATAATTTATTTGCTTTTTATTAGGGGTATGTTTGCTTTATGGGAACTGCACATATTTCTATATATCTTATATAAATAAAGCTGTTATTTTACTATTATTAGTATTAATATATTAGAAAGACACTAAATAAGGTATGACACTTGACCTTGATGATTTGATTCACCCACTGAGTGTGAATTAGTAGGAGAGGAGGTCATATGTAAGTTGGATTTTTTGAAGGCAGAAGATGGGGGAAGAACATTTTAGGCAGATAGAACAGGATAAACACATGAATGTAAAACAAGATGGCCAGTTCATAGAAAATAATAGAATTTAGGGCTCATGAGAGGGACCAGTTTGAGTTTGGAATTGCAAGGAGTAGGAAATTAAAGGTGGTAAAGCCCGGTAAGATTGATTATAAAGTTATGTATGGGTAACTTATACGGTATAATAAAAAGCTGAATTTTTATATTTGGGGTAGAATAAAGATGATGTTGAAAATGTAGAGGAAGAATTGAAAGAGCTTTGTGGGAGGAAGACAGAGAGTATAGACAAAGGGAAGTCATTAGAAAGCCACCCAAGGGGAGATTTCGAGTCAGAGACTATTTAATCCCTAGAAATCCCAGAGAACCAAGTTTCCAAACAAGAGCACACACAGTGGGAATGTTAAGCTAAAGTTAAGAACAATTATGTGGTTTTATGTTGTTTTGCTTATACAATGACAGACTCCAGCTTTAATGTTTTCTCCTATTAGGCTAAGGAGTCAGTGACCCCAGAAAGGATGAATACTGTAAGAAACCCAGCCTGAAACCCAGCTTGAAAGAGTCCTATGCGCCTTCATCCAACATCGCCTTTCTAGAATCTGCCCCACTCAACTAACCAGGAAGTTCCACAGGTAACTGCACGGTTTTCAATATCTATTTGAGCAACTGCATTCTTCAGAGAAGTGGATAGACAACAGATACGTGTTAAAGAGCCATCCGCAAACAATAGTTCTATAGAACTAATAGCGATATATATAAATCATAGTGTGCATTAAAAAACTTCAATGTAACAAAAAGACACATCACATATAAAGAGAGAAGTAATATATGAAATTACATAACCAACAAAGATTAGTATCCAAAATATATTTTAGAATTTTCTACAGATTAATAAGCAAAAGACAGGCAAGCCAAGAGAAAAATCAGCAAGGAATTAATAGGCGATATACAGAAAATAAAACTGAAGTGCTCATTGAGCATATGTGAAAAGATGTTCAAACTCACCAATATTAAAACAGTGTTCATTTCTGAAGGAAGAAGAAGGGAGGAGAATGGAATTTGAAAGAGCTACAAAGTGAAATGCCAAGTTATGTCTAACACTTAATGGCTTTAAACAATAAAGAGCAGAGCAAATATTGCGAAATGTTAACAGTTGGTCATCTACGTGGTAAGTATCTGCATGTTTGATTTGCTTTCTGTATTTTCTTTTTAGAAATATTTCTTAATAATAAATTTACATATGTGACAATGTTACCATCCTGTTCTATAAATATGTCCCAATCTATCAGTTTTATGAGAAAAAATGATAAGGGAGGCAGATGAATTAGGGGAAGGACATAGAAGGAGGAGTTGAAATCCTAAATTCTAGTCCCAAATCTGCCATTTGCCCACTGTGTGACCTTGAGAAAATCACTTAATTCTTTTGAAACAAACTCCTCACCTGAAAAACTTGAACAACAATATCCACCTTTAATACATGAAGTTATTTTAAGGAGTGAATTATTTCACTCTCATATATAAGAAAGTGATGTTCAAATGTAAAGAAAAGATATGGAAATTCTTAAAACCTGCAGTTAACGTGAAGTTGAATGAACATACTTTCCCACTTACTGTCATTCTAAACTTATGGAAGCAGACATTAGAACAGAAAGTAGACACACATCTTTTCTTACCGGGTCTATTAGCTGGGAATAGAGTTCATGGCAATTGTCAAAAATATACTTGTACGTAGAATCCAGGCAAGCCCTGACACAGTCTTTCACCACCACGCTGGCCTTTGGGGGGCTTTGCAGCTCCAGAACCTGGTAGACAAAATATTTTCTTAAATTCAAAAATAAAACATTGTATAAACCGTATAAACAAATCAAACAATATTCAATAAACACTTTTAGTTGAACTTTCTGTATTCAGGAGAAATGTGGTCTTTGAAATGTTTTAAATATGTAAACACCCACCTTAACATCCTAATGTAACAACTCAGAGAAAACGAGCATAGTTGTAAATATTCAAATAGAAATACTTAAAGTGACCAATCACAATATCATTCATTCATTCCATTCAACCACTCAACAAGTATTTATCATCACCTACTATATATCAGACAATGGTGATACTGCAGTGAGCAAAAGAAACAAAAATCCCTTTCCTCGTGAAGCTAAATTTTAGTAGACAATAAACAAAAGAAATCAGTAAAATATATTACATGATGTTGCACGCTGAAAAAAAAAATAAACCGAAGAAGAGGGATAGAAAGTGTTTTAGCCGAATAGAATTTAATACAAAGGACTTCAATAGTAGATCAATTCAGAGAAGTAACAGGATGGGACCAGTGGAAAAACTGCAAATAGACTACTCCAAGAACCTTAGCTTTGAGCAAGGTGGGAAGAAAGTAGACTATTTGAGCAGAAGAGGAAAGTGACCTAGTTTTTTAAAAGGCTCCCTTATGCTGCCTTAAGGCTGGCTATGGACAAAGCAGAAAGACCAGTGATGAGAATAGTTCAATAATTCAGTCATGAGAAGACAGTGCTTGAACTATGGTAGAGCAAGGAGTTGTTAAAAGAAATTCTATTCTGGTTAATTTTGGAAGGAATGGGTAACAGGATGTGCTGACAGATTGGGTGACCAGTGTGAGAGAAAGACACCCCAAGTATATGATCAGGTGACCCAAGACGGCTGTCCTCTTGCTCTCTGTACATCTCCTGCTCCACGAGTGCCTACTTCAGCCACACTCTACTACCTGACGGACCTTCCTACATACTTGCCCCAGGCCCCAGTTAATGATTGGTCTAACTTTAGCCCCGATGGAAACCTATCAAAGGGGTGGTGAGGGACATGCCCCTCTGCTGGTTTCCCTGGTAAGTGAGGGGCCAACCTGACATCAATTTCCCTATAACTGGTAACCTCCCCTTCCTCCCAGGAGTGAAGATTGCCTTCACGGCTGGCCAAGAGCCTGGGGCACACAGTGAGGTCTCACTCCAGGACCTTGCTTCAGACACATAAGATCCCCCATCCATTAAACCATTGATGTCTCTGTTGCTGATTCCGGATTCCTTCTTTGGTCTTGAAGATGGGGAAGTACAGGCCTTGTCGGCCTATGACGGGTGGCCTAACACCAAGGTTTTAGCCCTAAATAACTGGTACACTGGAAGTGGTCTCAACCTAGATGAGCAAGACTATGCTTAGAATATCAGGAGCTCAGTTTACGACAGGTTAAGATTGAGAAGCCTGTTATGCATACAAGTAGATTTCAAACAGACATTTGGGTAAACGAGTCTGGAGTAGTAGAGATGCCTGAGCTAGTGATATAAATTTGAGAATTATTAGCTTAGAGAAGAATTTAAAGAAATGAGTCTAGATGAGTATGGACAGGAAGAGGAGGAGTCCAAAACAGAAACAATGGGTAATTCTAGCCCTATGACATTAGACAAATGAGAAAGAACAAAGCAATGGAGAAGAGAAAAAAAGGCAGCCAATGAGATAGGAGAAAAAAGAAGCAAAAGGGGTGTCCTGGAATCTAGGGAAGAAAGGCTTTCCTGGAGGAGAGATTGAAAAAATATATTACGTGATACTGAACACTGTAGGATGAAGACTAATGACTGACCACTAGATTTAGCAAAGTGATGGTCACTGCTGATTTTGACAAGATCATTTTTGGTGAAGTGATGAGTTAAAAGTCTAATTGGAGTAGGTTCTAAAAATAAGGGTGGATTTGAAGATTTAATATTTAAAAATTTTTAGTTCTCTACAGATTGATCTATAGATTTAATGCAAACCCAACCAAAATCCCAGTAAGAACTAATATAATCTATTAAACAATTCTGAAAGGTAACAAAAAAGGTGGAGGACTAAAACTATCTAATTTTAAGATTTGCTATAAGGCTTCAGTAATCAAGACAGCATAGTAATGGTAAAAGTATAGACATTTGGACAGCATAGAGAGTCCAGCAATAGACCCAAACAAATATGATCAATTGATTTTTTATAATGATGCGAATGAAATTCAATGAATAAGGGATGATCACTTCAATAAATGGTGTGAAAACTACTGAATATCTATATACAAAAAAATGATCCTGACCCATACCTCACAACTTATTAAAAAAAAAAAAACAACTCTCAAAATGGAACCCAGGATTAAACGTAAAAGGCAAAATAAAACTTTTAGAAGAAACACAAAAATCTTTGTGACCCTAGTTTCGTCAGTAGCACTACCTGTAAATAGAAAGACTGATAAAGTAGACTTTATCAAAATTAAAAACTTTTGCTAGGCAAAAGATAATTTTAGAGAATGAAAAGACAAAATACAGACAGGGAGAAAACATCAGCAAATAAAGTACCTGACAAAAGACTTGTATCCAGAGTAAATAAAGCACTCAATACTCAACAATAAGAATGAAGAGTGGGCAAAACATTTCAACAGACTGTTCACAAAAGAAACTCAGATAGCAAATCAGCTCAAGAAAGCATGATTAGAACAGTTGCTAATCAGGGAAGGGAGGGGATCCCGAGACAAGGGAGGAGCAGTCAAGAAATAGTGCAGCCTTGGGGCCAGGTCATGGTTCTGCCTCAGGGATACACATAACAATATCTTTAAGTTCTTTATAGAACTAAAACCCCCAACAAATGGAAGATGCCAGCATTCTTCATTCCAGATTAAAGGAACCAAAGAAGCTCTTCAAGAAGGTCACCAGATTAAAGGAACCACAGAAACTCATCAGATTACCTGAGGCCAGATTAAAGGAACGCAGGCCCTGCACACACCCTAATCTTACCAGCAACCTCACCCTTCAGCTGTTGCTATAAAACTCCTTGCCAAATCCTCCCAGGTACGGACATATAGTTTTTGAGGGCAGGATCCCACTGTGTCCCCCTTTGCCTGGAAAAGCAATAAAGGTATGCTTTTCTACTTTACCCAAAACTCTGTCTCTGAGATTCGATTTGACACTGGCGCACAGAGGCCGGCTGAGTTTTTGGCATCATTAGAATGGCTAAAAAAATAAAATCAAATCATGGAAAATGCCAAGAGCTTTACCAGAAGATGTAGAACAACTGCAATTGGCATTTCTTGTAAAAATTTACATACATTTACCAAATGACCAAGGAATCTCCCTCCTTGTTATTTATCCAACAAAAGTGAAAATTTATGTTTACACAAAAAAATATATATATCTATATTTTTAACAGTTTTATTTGATATGACCCCAAACTGGAAATAACCCAAATGCTGTAGATCATATATAACAAAGAATTACTACTCAGCAATCAAAAGGAATGAACTGTAGATACACTCAGGAAGAAGGCTGATAGCCAATATGTTACACTAGATTATTATTAAATAATAGATTATTATTTCATTTACTCGATGTTCTGGAAAAGGTAAAACCATAGGGGGACAATAACAGATCAGGAGGTGGGAGAGAGGTTGACTATAAAGGACTAGCACAAGGGAATACTGGAGGCTAACAGGACTGTTATTCTATATCTTTATTGTAGTGGTGGTTAACACAACCACACATGTCAAAACTAATAGATCACTATGACAAAAAGAGTGAATTTTACTGTCTATAATGAGGAGAAAAAGACAAAAGAAGGAGAAAACTTGTTCAGAAGACAATTCAAGAAAATAAATTGGAAAGAAAAAGTAAAAAGGACTATTTTGAAGGGTTTTGGTATTAAAGGAAAAGAAGGATAAGGGTAGTAGCTGTAGAAGAAAATGGAGTCAAGCAATATTTTTAGGACTGGAAATAATAGCATGTTTGGTGATGGGGGATATCCAGTAGAGTGTGGAAGACTGATAATTCAGGTGAGTGAGGAAGATTGCTGGACCACTGTTTTAGTAACTCAGGAGGGGAAGAAATTAATTACATCAGTGGAAGATACAGCTTTTTTTTTTTTAGGAGAACAAACAGCTAAGCAATCATAATAAAAAAAAAGAAGGAACAGAATATGGACACAGATGCAGCTAAGTAAGTAGATGGGTGGGTGGTGGGAGCGTGTGGTCAGACCTTGAAGCTCTCCAGTAGTTGCTCCTGTTTTTCCAGTGAAATCAGAAGCAAGGTCATCAGCTGGCAGTGAGGGTGGGGGAGGAGGACTTGCAAATTTGAAATGATTTTGTTTCCTATACACTGCAAGGCTGGTGATTGAGGAAAAGCAGGTATTGAGCACTGTGCTGGCACTCCCCTCTCTCACTCCCATTTTCCTACCCCCCTCAATGTCAATGGCAGGTATCACTTGTCAATGAGAGCCTGGATCAGTTCTATCACCCTCTATGCACTGTTCCAGCAGCTACTGCCAGCAGATCAGAATTGATGTAAATTCTATTTATGCCAGTCACCTAATTTTACCATGACTTCAAACCAAATGAATTTTAACTGAACTTTAAAGGATGGATGGTTTATACAGTATGGTTTTGTTTTCTTTCTCTCTTATAAAATACCAATTTTATTGTTTTAGTGAAGATAATCATGGGCAACTGAAAAGAAGAAAAATAATTATTTCTAATTTTTTCTGTACAGGAATTTCCTGAATAAAAAATCATAAACTCTTTCAAAGGGCAAAATGTTTAGCCCATAGCCTGACAAGTAGTTTTAAGAAAGGCTTTACATGAATTGTCCAGCTAGCCAAATTATAATTGCAGACAACTTGCTATTAAAGCAAAGAAGATATACCTAAAAAGAAATATTTGCATAGGCTGGTAGATAACAGTTAATTATACCAATGGACTAAACAATCACACATATTCCTATATAGACATTCTCAGGGCAAGAAATGGAAGTTGCTACAATTAGGGTAAACTTAAAAGAGGCTACTCTCTTGCAATGAAAAAGTGGGCAAGACATCTCAGTTAAAATTGAAATGCAAAGTGAACTTCATTTCCATTTAATGTCCTTAGGGATTTTTTTTTTCCAGTAAGTGTCACGTCCACTCACTAGAAAGCTTTAAGATGAATTTAACTTAAAACTAAATTTGAGCCAAATGTATCAGAATATCTTAAGTGTCTAGGATAATCTCTTTTTCAACACACATTATGTTGGAAGATTCATATAGCTCAGGCAAAGGCACCACATCTTAATCAATGGGGATGAATAGTATTGATCAAGAGAAGGGTAGGGCTTCCCTGGTGGCCCAGTGGTTGAGAGTCTGCCTGCCGATGCAGGGGACACGGGTTCGTGCCCCGGTCCGGGAAGATCCCACATGCCGCGGAGCGGCTGGGCCCGTGAGCCATGGCCACTGGGCCTGTGCATCCGGAGCCTGTGCTCCGCAACGGAAGAGGCCACAACAGTGAGAGGCCCACGTACCGAAAAAAAAAAAAAAAGAGAAGGGTAAAACCAGACTCTACCAGGGAATAAATGTATGTCACACGAAGACAGTGACAAAAATAAAAGATGTACCTTCATCCTAAAAAAGGTGATACTTGTTAGCAGGTCAACAGTTGATTTCAGGTCTTGCAATCTTTCAGCATTGCTGGCGGGAAAGTTTTCCTGTTTAATTAGGAAACAGAAAATGGGTAAATTATCAGCATTAAGTCTCCAGTGGCAAATAAACTACAACTAACTTTCTGTGAAAGAAAATGGTAAGTAAACTGTGTAAAATTTAAAAAGTATCACCACAGTATTCTCACAATATTTTTACTGTAAAATATCACAGAAAATAAACAAGTTGGAAGTATTCTTGTCTTAGTCTTGGAAAGCCATATTCTTCTACTTATTCCCACAATGTAACAAAAATGTACAAAATAATATCATTAATGCAGTGTTATGAGGTTATTCATCCTGTTTCACAAAATAGGTTTCCGGCTGAAAGAGGGAGGGTGAGCATATATTTGAAAATATTTTTTATAATTTTCTCAACCATTTTTCCAAAATCCTTTTGGGAAATTTTACATGTCCTATATTTACTTTTAGTCACAAAGAAGCTAAAAGTAAAAAAAAAGAAAAGAAGACTGCACTGCATAGTCTCTCCCTGATGTACTGCAGATTTAAACAAAAAGGTTTGTTAGTGAAGTTTGGTGAGAAATGTGAGATAAACATGCAGATGTTCAGAATTTTTAAAGGAAAGGAAAAGAAACGAATTATGAAAATATTAAGGAAACAAGTTCAGCATTGAGAAATTTCTCATATTAACGTGCTTTCAGATAGGCTTTTTAAAGAGCCATTAGGAAAACCACAGGTAACTTTTAGGTATTCATGAACTCAAGAAGAGTTGGAGTGTCAAAGTGATGATGAATGAGGCGGCCTCAAGGTCCTTCTTGCCCCCAAATATCATTTTCATTGCCTGTCACAGCAGTTCCCTTCTCACAGTGTTGGCCCCAGTTCCAACATGACAGGTAAGTTTGACAAAATTTGGTATTATAATTTCCGGACATGCGCAGTTAAGCGATCCATCAATAAGAGACTAAAAATTGAATGTAAGAAAGACACATATGTACAGATATGGAAAGATATTTATTATAGAATAAATTGTTAAAGAATGCAATAATTATTACTATAGATTTTTTGGTAAATAAAATTTGTAACTAAATTTTTTGGTTACTGTATTTTCTAAATAAAATTATATCTGTGTGTTTACAAACACAAACACACACATGAATATATTTGTGTATGTGTGAGTTTGTGTGTATTTCACCTGCAGGTGAAGTACAGAATTGTTGACAATGAACTCTGTACAGCTTCAAAAAACGCACATTGTGCTGATCTAGGAGTGAATTAAGTGGTGAATCCCAGAAAGAATATCAAAAGCTGAAGAAAAATCAGCTGGATATCTTAGTAAGAAGGGGTGAGCTTTTAAGATGAGGACTGGGTCACATGTCTACTTCATGAATTATCTGAGGGCCACTCAATCTGATGGTTATTAAAAGAATTATAAAAGTAAACCTGTACATGTGTGCACACACACGCGCACACACACACACACACACACACACACACACACACACAGAGTACTGCAGGCTGATGTGGAGCAAGGTACCTAAACAAGGGATGTCTACTTGATTACTTAGGGGACCCATCTAGTGTGACAGGACCCAAGATTCTAAGATCATTACCTTTACTTTTCCATTACATAGTGGATAACTTTTTTTTACAATATGACAAGAAATCATCTGAGCCCAACACCATATTTTACCTTTAGGCAAATAATTTTGTACATACCCTATACTTTGACAGGTCAATCCTTAAAGAGTTATGCAATTGGTCCAGTAGTTTTATGAATTTTTCCCTCTGTGCAAAGCAAACACAAAATAGGAGAATGGAAATCAATGATAATTCTAAATGTAGTCCTCACAACAAAATCAGTCTGAGTTAATGTCCCCATTTGATAGAAAGGAAGGTTCAAAGATGTCAGTGATTTCTCCAAGATCATAGAGCTGGTATGTGACATAGCAGTGATTCAAACTCAGGTCTCTGACACCAAATCCACACTCTTTCCTGTAAGTCACACTGCCTCTCTCTGATGAATGAGACAGTATCCAAAGAACTGAGTCATGAAGAAAGAGTCCAGACAACTGAATTGCCACTGTACTCCTTCACAGCAGTATGAGTCAACAAGAGAATATAACCCACCCCTCTTCCCACCTCCACACACCACACCACCTCCCCAAAATTAAACTATAGTTTTTTTAAACTTCTCCCACCTATGGAAGGGGGACTAGCTGCTCTTTGTGTCAAAAAGAATTTCAAAAAGTATTTTCCTTTTGGTAACGGACTTCATAATTTGAAAGGATCAACTGCCTTCAAAGTATGTTTATGATTTAGTGCTAATAAAGGATAAAATATCAGGTCAACAAAAATTACCGATGCCTCCCTCTGATGCTGTATCAGGGTTGGACTGACTTCTTCATAGAAGGATTTGAAGATGATAAAGGATAAGAATTAAAACGTTTTGCCAATAAGCCTAAGGATATAGTTGTGTGGATTAAATAAATCAGATAAGGTAAAAAACCATCAAAGTCACACATGAAAACTTTACAATAGACAAAGCACCATTCTTAGTCTCCTATTCCTAAATAAAAATGAAAAAAGTATAGGGGGATGGTAGTAAATGACTAAAGGTTCCTCCCTAGACTAATATTACGTAAACACCAAATTACACTTTGGAATATATTAGCAAAAGTAGAAATTTTTCCTAGTAGTTTCACGAACAATTTGGATTTATGGGGTATATAACTCATCCCTTTAAGTCACTGATCTTGATGAAGTGAGCTGAATATTAACGGGAGTTGATAAACTGTTCCTAAGTTGAAACTTCAATTTTCTGAATAAACTGCCTTTTATCAGGTTTATATATCAGTGAACAAAGTTTGACTATTGCCTCTGTGTTAATAACCCTTGTGGAGGCAATGAAGGAGCCTAAGAAATGACCCTTTCCTTCCAGAAGCTTGTTATCTTGTTAGGCAAGCAAGACTCTCCAGTAAAGCTGCCGGAAAATACAATGAATGTCTTAGAGTTTTCTTTCTTATTCTCTATCATACCTTCCTAGGGGAGGAGGTGACCTATGTTGCCCTTGATTAACCCCCATCCTCCATCAACGTGGGTCAGTGGATCTCAACCAAAATAGAAAAATAAAAGAGCTGCTACAATCATCGGTTTAGGCCATAGTAGTTAATCATTCAACGACTGTAAAAATCAATGTGTTTGTGTCAGTCTCTGGATGCTTTATACGACCTCTGTGATTGGTATGAACCATTAAGACAGCTGACATGACCCTAGTGAACCACGCTATGACCCAAATCACTGGCCCTGTTGTGTACACTGGGACCAACTGCTCTGGTTGTCTGCCCGATAACCCTTCTTCTCTTCCTAATAGAACCTCAAGAGTCAAATACGTCCTTTCTGAAACACCTACCCTCCCAGGCCTCTTTTACTCTAGCAATGGCCATGTAGCATGATTTTGGCCAATGAGATGTATACAGTTTATTAAAGAGGATGGAACCAGCCAGCATATTACCGATGAATTATTATTTAGAAAGATTCTAAAAGAATGCTCTGCAGAGTTGTTGTATTAGTATTTGCTATATAATTCTTTGTTAGGCCTTTTTTCCGTTTGCCTTTTGTGTCTCTCTGCTTTTTCTCACCTTAAACTCAGACGAGATACTAGAAGGTCAAATAGTCATCCTTTGGCTATAAGATGAAAAGCTAAACAAACGGTAAGAATGATGAGGCAGGAAGCTAGGAGCCTCCACACCTCATCCTAACTCTGTTTGCCTACCCTTTCAAAAACTTACAATCCTGAGCAGCTGTACTAGCCCTGAATTCCTTATTACCTTTGGACTTAGGTTACATGGGAAAGAATATTGAGTTAGGTTTGTTGAATTTATTTCATGCAGCTGAACAGAATTCTGACTGATACAGATCACACATTTAGTCTTCCAACCTAGGTCTTCAGTGCCCAGCTGGAAAATTTACATTCCAGAAAAATAGAAAACTGTGGAGAAAACTGCCAGGCATGTTGTCGCTAAATCCCGAACAATATCAGATGATGTGAAATTAAAAGTGTGCTCCTGATAGAATTTTCACAGACATTTTTTAAACAGAAGGACAGCCTGAAATTTTATTTCATTTACCATATTTCTATTTAACCTGAGTGAGATTGCCTTTGTGAAAGCAGAAGAGGCCTATCACCTACATGGTGTGATTTGAGGAATAAGAAAAGACTGCAATTAAAAAATGTTTCTCGGGCTTCCCCGGTGGCGCAGTGGTTGAGAGTCCGCCTGCCGATGCAGGGGACACGGG